AGGGTAGGAGGTCTGAGCACAAGCAATGCAGGAGATTTTTGGAGTGTGCTGAAGACAATTTCTTAATGCAGTTGATCGATGACTTGACAAGGCAGGGGATACTCTGCTGGACCTATTGCTCACAAACAAGGAAGAATTAGTTTATGTTATAAAGGCTGAGGGCAGCCCTGGTTACAATGATTGGATGCTGGAGTTCAAAGTACTGAGGGAAGTGGGAAAGACAAATAAGTAGAATCACAACCTCATACTTCAGGAGAGCAGATTTTGGCTTCTTCATAGATTTTCTTGTCAGGATCCAATGGACAACTAGCCTGTAGGGTAAACGTGCACAAGAAGCTTGTTGATCTTCATGGACCCTTTGGCAACCTCAATGCACAAGAACAGTTCATTTGCTGAAATGCAAAAAAAAAATGCCTACAGAACTTGGATGCAGGGAAGGAATGCCCTGGAAAGATATTGAGGCATTAACTGAGCATGCAGGGATGGAGATGGGAAAGACTCCCAGTTATGGCAATCAGGCAAGGTACTTGATGACTGGGAAAGGGCAAACATAACACTCAGCATCAAGAAAGACAAGGAGGATCCAGGGAGATATAGACCAATCGGCCTGATTTCAGTACTTGGGAAGGTTATGGAGCAAATCCTTTTGGAAGCCTTTTCTTAGCACAAAAAAGAAGATGGTGATTGGGAACATCCAGGACAAAGTTTACCCCTTTATTCCCTTTAACACCCTTTTGATTTCTGTAATGAGACGATTAGCTCAAGGGACAAAGGGGTATTGTCTGCCTTGCCTTTAGGAAAGTCTTTGGCATGGTGTCCTTTAGTGTCATTACAGCCAAATTGGTGAGATATGGACTGCTTAAGTGTATGGTAAATTTGGTGGAATAGTGACTGAACTTTAGGGCTCAGAAGGTAGCCATCTGAGTCACAAAGTTGAATTATCAACCAGTTATCTCTGCATATCCCTCAGGGATTGAAACTCAGGTCAGGAGAGGACTACCAGGATGGTCAGGGGATAGAGCACATGATAGCTGAGGAGAGGCTCAGTGAGATGCATCCATTCAGCTTTTAAGAAGAGGCAGCTTTGGGGATATCTTGTTGCAGTCTACAGGTACCTGGTCAGGGTGTGTAGAGAAGATGGAGCCAGATTTTTCACAGGGGGCCACAGTGGAAGGATGAGAGACAACTAAGCTGGGAAACGAGAAGTTTCAAATCAGTATTAAGAAAAAAAAAAAATGTCAAGAGTGTGTTCAGACACTGGCCCAGGTTTCCCAGAGAGGTTGTGCGATTGTTGTCCTTGGGGACACTCAAAACTTGTCTGGAGAGGGACCTGAGCAACCACTTGTAACTCTAGTTACTCTGAGCAGCAGGAAACCTGTATAATCATACATTGATTATAATCATACATTGATCTGATGATTTTTTTCAATTTATTCTGACATATTAGGCTTAACTATGGTCTGATACCTTGATTCAGAATTAATTCAGGGAAGTCCTGTTGCTTCCTCCATGCAAAAGTCTGAATCTCTTCAGTGTTGCCTTTTACCTTATCTCTTTCCAGATGAAGCTTGGGTATGATCTGGTATGGTAATTCTTGGATTAATGTACAGTTAACAATAGCAATACTGGCATGTTGTAATTTGATTTGCCCTTAGAAGCATGAACTGATGTGACTTACTCCTTTTGTAATGCATACCAAATATTAGTAAATCATTATAATCAAAATGAACTTTTAAAATTTACTGGTTTAGGTAATAGTTGCTATTTTACATTTATATCAAACCTTTCATTTTAAGTGTTCATGAAGCTTTAAAACCTCTCCAGTAGATAAGCACCACTGGGTACCTGCATGGCACAAACTTACATTGCTGTGGAGGAGGAGTATTGTTACAGGCTGTCTTTTATCTTCCTGAATGGCAGAACTGTGCTTCTTGGAGAGGTGGTGTGTGTCATGCTACGAGGAGAGGGTTTAGCTATTTTGCCTCCATCCAGTCTTGCCATTGGATGCAGAAAAGAGGTGGAAATGCTTTCCTTCCCACTCTCATGGGCAATGCATAATCATTAGTGGAAGACGTAGTACACCAAACTACCCTTGCAGGCAGCTATAAGCAGGTGTATATCTCTTCTTTCTGTTTTGTTTAGTCATGGCTATAGTTACAGAACTACATCTATAGCAAAATGACATTCACCAGCAATGAAATACAGCAAACTGAGAAGATGAGCACAGTGGCTTTTTAACCATGCACAGTGACATGCTGTAATAATTCTTGTCAGAAAACAAGAGTGAGTTTGTGACTCCTCAGGTCAATTTTCATACTGGCTGTGAGCACATTACATAGAGCTCTGTTTATGACCAGTGTTTTAATCATAAGTCCTATTTTTTGTCTGTACTTAATTTCTAAGGTTTGAGAGGAGATGCCGCTGAAAAGGGGTATGAGTTCATGGGATTGTGTTAAATTGTCTGACAACAGCTAGGCAGCTGATTGAGCTTTCAGAAGACACAGTTAACATGGGCTATTTTTTTCCTTCAGCACTGCAGGAGAAGGGAGGTCTACTGATGAAATAAGCTCAGGACTTAGAGGTTGCTTATGTGGTCAAATCTTGAGGTATTCAGAAGGATTTTTCCATGGGTAAGGAGGGCAATATCTGTGTGTTAGGCATGAGAAAGCCAAAGACAATCAGTGAGGATTGCTCAGGTGTCATAAGCTGCAAAACTTCCTGAGAAGACAAAAAGCTGTTTTCCTTCCTCTCTGCTCCTCTCTGCTGTGGTACCAGATATCGCTGCCTTCCATACCCTTGCTGTAAAAGCACTTTGGGAGAACCAGGAGGGAGATTTAACAATCAAACATTTCTACCACTCCCTATTTTGTGTCAGAGGAGTTGCTGGTGCAGTACTAATGTTGTGTGTTGTAGGGAATGAGACTGAGGGAAATGCTGTATGGAGATGGGAGATGGCAGATGCCTGGACCTCTTTTGCTTAAAGCTATTTTACTTTGCTTCATTGCTAGTCTGGGAAAATTCATCTTTTCTATATGTGAAGAATGGATTTTTCTGCCTGCTGAGCACAGGAAAGCTTCTGAATCTCTGTGAAAACGTGCCATGAAATATATTTGTAGCTCATCGGGTCTAAGGACTTCAACACCTGCTGTACCACTGAGAAGAGGAAAGTTTTTTGATATGTGATGGTTTCTTTCGTATGGTGCTTCCATTGTGTTTTACAAGACAACATGTAACTTCTAATACCTTTTAACATGGGAAACTTAGCTCCCACAGAGAAGAGATCATCTGATACAGAATTAACAAAAACCCCTTGTTTCAAGGTTTACGTCTATTTTGAGTTGATTTTTGTTCCTAGAATAAATAGAATAGTTTGGGTTGGAAGGGACCTTTAAAGGTCATCTAGTCCAACCCTTCTGCAGATAAGCAGGGACATCTTCAACTAGACCAGGTTGCTCAGAGCCCCATCCAGCCTGGCCTTGAATGTTTCCAGGGATGGGATATCTATCGCCTCTCTGGGCAAACTGTTCCAGTGTTTCATTGTAAAGAATTGTAAAGAATTTCTTCTTTATATATAGTCTGAATCTACCGTCTTTTAGTTTAAAACCATCATCCCTTGTCCTATTGCTACAGGTCCTGCTAAAAATTTTGTCCCCTTCTTTCTTGTAAGCCCCCTTACGCATTTGTTAAATGCATGCATTTCTACACATTTTAATTCAACAGGGCAGACACATTCTTATAGTTTGGTATTAAAAAAAAATGTTTACAGTTGTCCAAACCTAGTGCAGCCTGATATACACTTTTTCATTCCCACTGTCCACAAAACAGATACCTCCTTGTGCAAACTCAGGAGCAAGAGTAGGTAGAAAGCTCAGCTCTCCAAATGCTGAATCCGTACAGCAGAAACAAAATCTGAGACTTTCAAAGGTGATAGTGGATTTAGAATGAAATTCCTCTAATTAAGGAGCATTTAAACTATTAGTTCCCAAAACAATTAGGTGTCTTTTCCAAAAGATAAGGAAATACTAAATATCTCTACAGTGTTTGCTGCTCCAAGTCTGATCAAAACATCCCCGTGTGCCTCTGACACAGAAGGGAGGCTTATAAATTCCAATTGCGTACCTTTGTCTGACCTCTGGCACCAGGACAAAATGGACAGATGAAAAACCTCAGATTTCGTACAAACTAGTCATTTTAGAAGAATGATGTTTTGCTGTAAGTGACTTGGAAAATTCAAAAGAGAATGACATGATTTTCACATTTGCTTTATTTACACAAAGATCTCTCATGAATTAATTCAAAATAATAAGAAAAGCCTCAGCAGCAGCAGTAGTAAGGAAAATAAAAATATATATGTACATATGTATTTTGGTGAACACTGTAGTAGTAGTAGTAATGCAAACAAACACATATATGCACATATAGTTTGGTGAACAACTATTAAATCAAATAGCATAGAAATGCTTGAAGCATGTCATGATTTTCTTTTGATGAACTTGAGTTTCCCGATAATTTAAAAGATGAGTGGAGGGTCATAGCTTGTCAAGAAAGTAAGCCAAAATAAATTGCATCTTTATAATATTCTTTAGAACAAAATGTTCTAGGGACCATGCAAAGTTTAAAAACCCAATGCTTTTTCCTTGTGGCACTTTTATCATAAAATAATAGTATTTTCTTGCAGACTATTTGAAATTAATAATTTTAAATTAATGAGATAATTGGTGGGTGATAGTTTTTGAGAGCTAATAGTGAAGTGTCTCCTTTGTTAGGCACAACTAGTCTTGTAAGCAGTATTAATTACGTCACGCTAAAATTAATTCCTGTTTAAATGGTGAAGTGACATACCAGGAATGAATAATATTTCATATGCATTGTTGTGATGGGCATCTGGCAGGTGGAAGATCAAGAGGCGTAAAACTGGAGAAAAATAGTGTGTTTAAAAGATCTGTTAATTAAACTGTACTACCCTAATCTTACATTTTTTTAAAATTATTCTTCCGTAGCCTCAGACCATTCGGCAAACTCTTCAAAGGACATTGCAGTATTTTGAGCATCAAGTTATTGGGTAAGTGTTTATGTGAGGTAGTGAAAGGTGCATGGTAATGTTTTGGTCTGTGCTTCGCAAGTCACTGACTTGCGTGACAACCTTTTTAATTTTTTCTCTCAAATTCTTAGAGATGCTCTGCAGTAACTCTGTATACTGTGGATGTTGATGATAAACTGCTGTCCAGTCCTGCTTCCATGCAATCCCATCAGAGCGTGACTGCTCCATTAATAATAATGTTTCCTATATAAGGAGAACAGGGAATCTTTCTGTAAAATTATAAGATCTATTCCAATTTGCCTTTCACAGAGCTTGCTGAGAATGCTGGAGTTTTTATGCTACAACTTGACGTCCAATTCTTGCAAAATCCTACATCAGTGTTTGTTACATACATATGTGGTTGCATACTTTCAGGTTTTTGCAGAATCAAGGCTGAAAGCCACCTCCCAAGAATTTATGAGATAGTTTCAAATCTCGGAGCACTGGAGGAAATTGTCCTTGCCTATTTCTCAATGTTTTGTTAAAATTCACAGGGACCCCTAGTTTGGTGGGTGATACCAGCAATATTAGCAGTCTGACAGGCACCTGAGGGCATCAAGGGAGCCATTCTTGACAGGTAGTGGTGATGTCTGGTGTGGGGCAGGTAGGGGGAGAAGCCTTCTGGCTGCTGATTTTTTCAGTTGCTGAAAACATTGCATGAAGTCTCACATTAGGAGACTTCAGAGGATGATACAGTGCCTTGAGGAAAGCATGTGTGCAGTAACAATCCAGCTTTTTATTTATTGCCACATGTGGCTTAGATGTAGGTTTAAAAACGGGACACTGAAAACCTGTAATTCATGTGAATTACGATATACTGACTTAAGTTTTTTGAACATCAGTATGAGCTGGTTAAAGTATCATCTGCCACTAGCGGACGTCCTGTATTTGTCCTGTCCCATGATCTTTACTGTTGGTACGTGCTGTGGTGAGTTGCCTTTGGCAAGCTGCCAGACCCCTCTCTCATTCCCCCTCCTCAACAGGACAGGGGGAGAAAATAAGATGAAAAATCTTTTGGGTTGAGATAAAGACACTCCTGAGAACTCGACCTCCTCCTGCCCTGAATGGTGCAGGAGGGTGGGGATGGGGTTTTTTGTCAGTGCATAACAACTTCTCTCTGCTGCTCCATCCTCCTTGTGCTATTGCCCTGATTTGGCACAGACTTTCCAGAGACTACAGCTCCCTTCAGGGCATGTCTACCTGCTTCAGCATGGGGTCCTCCCCGGGCTGCAGATGGAGATCTGCGCCATCGTGGACCTCCACGGGCTGCAGGGCACAGCTGCCTCAGCAGGGTCTGCACCATGGGCTGCAGAGGAATCTTTGCTCTGGCTCCTGGAGCATCTCCTCCCCTTCCTTCTTCACTGACCCAGGTGTTCACAGGGCTGTTTCTCTCAGTTCTTATCTTCACGCCTCACACCTCCATGAGGTGTTTTGCTCTTTCTTAAATTCAGTTTTCAGAGGTGCCACGCACTTGGCTAGGGGCGCAGCTGTGCCATGCGGTGGGGCTGTTGGAACCGTCTGGAACCAGCTGTGCCCCACACAGGGCAGCCCCGGCATCTCCTCACAGAGGCCCCTGTAGCTCCCCCTGCTACCACCTGGGCGCTGACACCTGATGCAACATAAATGTTCATCAAATTCCCATCCAGGTCAAGATAGAATCGAAGCAACATAGAATTGTTTAGATTGGAAAAGACCTTTAAGATTATTGAGTCCAATTGCTAACCTAGCACTGCCAAGTGGTAGTCCACCATTAAAGCATGTCCCTAAGCACCACATCTACACATTTTTAAATACCTCCAGGGATGGTGACAAACACTTCCCTGGGCAACCTCTTTCAGTGCTTGGTAACTCTTTCAGTGAAGAAGTAATATCTAATCTAAACCTCCCCTGGTGCAAGTTGAGGCTGTTTCCTCTTGTCTTACTGCTTGTTGCCTGGAAAAAGAGACTGACACCCACCTTGCTACAACTTCTTTTCATGTAGTTGTAGGAGAAAGATAAGGTCTTCCCTCAGCCTCCATTTCTCCAGGCTAAACAACCCTGGTTCCCTCAACCATTCCTCATAAGACTTGTGCTCTAGACCCTTCACCAGCTTTGTTGCCCTTCTCTGGACACACTCCAGCGTGTAAATGTCTTTCTTGTAGTGAGTGGCCCAAAACTCAACACAATATTCGAGGTGCAGCCTCACCAGTGAAGGTACAGGGGGACAGTCATTTCACTAGTCCTGGTGGCCACACTATTTCTGATATAAGCCAGGGTGCTGTTGGCTTTCTTGGCCACCTGGGCACACTGCTGGCTCATATTCAGCCAGCTGTTGACAATGCCCCCAGGTCCTTTTCCATTAGGCAGCTTTCCAGCTACTCTCCCCCAAGCCTGTAGTGTTGCATGGTCTTGTTGTGACCCAAGTGCAGGACCCAGCACTGAGCCCTGTTGAACCTCAAGATCAGAGGTAAAGAGTGGCCATGGTGTCATTCAGGGAGTTGGTGACACTGGCTGAAGAAGCCTGGCTGCCTGGAGTGGTGGTGAGGCTGGGCTGTGACTTTGGGCTGTGGGTCAGCTTGGACAGTGTGTGGCTTTCTGCCAAGCACATGGCCTGGCATCGCTGGAAATCTGGAAGGTGGTACAGACCATGCAGCTCACTGCAGAAGGCACCTTAAGTAATATGAGCCCACTCTTCCCAATATGCTTTACTCCACCTGGAGAACCAGTTTCCCTGTTGGGGGGTAACCTGATGTGCAGCTCTCAATCCTTTCTAGTCTTTTTCCACAGGTGCTGGCAACCCAGGTGTTGAGGTTTTGCAGACTTAACCAGATGAAGAGTCTAATCCTTAAAACTGCTATTCATGATTTATGAAGTATAAACAAAGTATGAGCGCAGAACAAAACTGTTAATAAAATACTCATTAGAAAAGCTTTTCTCTGTTCATTGAGCTAAATCGATTGCATATTTTGCCAAGTGCATTATCACTCTGCTCCAATATTTTCTTCACTTGTATTCCCTCTTCTGTTCTCATTATCACCTGTATAAAGCTTTGTTTTAAACATAGTCTCATCTTCTGTTCTGTTTCTGTTGAATTAAGGAGAAACAATCCAGCAAGCCAAATCAAATAGAATAATTTAGATGGTAGCTGCTTTCTTGCTGGTCGGACCACAGCTCTGTGCCTTTCATCAGTGGTGTAATTCTTTTTAATTTTTGTTTAAGAAGCTACAACACAAACTTATTTTTGATAGTATAGTAATTTCAGCTTCACATCCTTCTTTCTGCTGAGATCTTTTCAGATAATTCACAAAGAAAGCTAGGTTTTATACCTGCAGTGCTAATGTACTGATGCAGAAGATACATTATTCTTATTAGATACTTGCATTGCCTTATAAATATTTTCCTTGTACAGCTTTGTTATAGACAACGCTCCAGTTGGAATGATGTATGTCAGATATGTATGATACCCTTCCTTCATGCCTCAGCCCTTTTGTACTGTTTTTTTCTTATGTCTTCATTCTCATTACAGGTGATATTTCAGATTCTAGTATAATACTTGAGATACACAGAGTGTCATCTGTGTGTGATAATGCATGAATGGAGAGGAGGTGATGGAGGGGAGAAGAGGGCAGAGACAAGGGAGGCTAAAGGCATCCTTTACCACCACTCTGAAAGACATTTGTTGACCTTGCATTTGTATAAGGAGATGCTATAACATTTTTACTTTTTTCTAACTGCAGTTACAGGGATGCAGAGAAGAACTTTCACAATATATCAAACAGATGCTCATATACAGACTGCTCTGGCAATGAAGAAACTGAAGATGTCTCAGGAATTCTCCAGTGTACGGCTAATGTACTTGGTAAGTATTTTATTTGTTTCCTTTTGCTGGATGGAAAGTTTTCCCACCATCCAAATACCAACAATGGACCAAGGAATTTTTGCTCTAACAAAAAAGATCTAGGAGGTAGGCAGCTATGTATCAGTGTACTGTTGCTACATTTGTCTCCTTTTCTACATATATTTTATGCCTTTGAGAAAATTCAGAATGAATTTTCAGTGAAGTCAGTGGAGGTATGTTGTGCAATACCCAGTGATTAGAAAAGTTTCAAATGCTTTGAGTCCAAATGGACTTACATCTGTGCAGGCCTTGGTCTTGGAATTATCTCAGGTGGTTTTATAGGGGTTCTACAGAACAACAGATACTCTTACTGTGTGTGGACCTCCTGGACAGAGGGCCTGAGATACAGAGAGCACGATGCACCTAAGACTTGAAACATTCTGAAAACGTACATTCATTCTGAAGAATGCTTGCTTGAAATAAACTTCTAGAAATGTTGCATGTTATCCATCACTGAAGTGCAACTGTCTTAATAGGTGTCAATATTAGATAGCTGTCTATTTGCATTCATTCATATGATTTTTCCAGCTTATTCTCTTTTTCAAGTTAGTAAGTTTTACTGCTTTTCAGTCAGACCTGTGTTGCTGATACAAATCTACCATAAAAAGCAAAAAAACAAACAAAAAAAAAGGTGCAGAGCTTGACACGGAGAACTTAATTTTTGGCTGAGGTTGTTTTAAGTGTTTCACTTCTATGAAACTGATCATATTCTTTGTTTTAGAGTAAACTTTACAGATTGAGCTTTAACCACTGGGTGGTTGTCTACATTTCCCAGGGAACTGCAAGGAGGAAAACTACTAACTGCTTTTAAAGATAATTGTTTCAAAGCAGTAATTCCTGTTTTATTTGTGATAGTCATTTGCAGTGTAGCAAAGCTGATGTTACACAGCTCTACTTCCAGGACTGTAACAATTGTCAATAACTCTTTAAGTAAGTTCTAAGTCATGAAGTGTTCTCATATATTAATTGTATGCAATTATGCTGTCTACTAACAAGAAAGTAATACCAATGTGATCATGTTGATCAGTATGAGTTTATCAGTATTATGCATGGTTGGGCTCAGTCCTGAGGTCAAGTAACCACAGCTCACCCACTTGGAGCACAGTGGCTGAAGTCTGGTAGGTGACTTATGTCCACTGCTATGTAGTGTCCACTGTGGAGCAGTGTCATTTGCCATCTGCTGCTTTCATGGAGTTTGCAGCCGGAGAGGTGTTGCAATCATTTCTCTGTAGGAAAGGCCATGGGTTTCCTGGTGGCCAGCAAATGGGACATGGGCCAGTGGCGAGTCCTGGCAGCAATGGCAGCCTGGGCTTTATGAGCAGGAGCAGGGATACAGATTAAAGGGACTCATTATTTCCATCCACTCAGTACTTGTTAGACCATATCTGGATTACTGAATCCAATGTTAAGAGCCCAAAACCACAGAGAGGTTGATAAACCAGAGGGAGTTCAGTTGAGGCCACTAAGATGGTGGAGGCTGGTCTACCTGCCCTGTGAGGAGAATCTGGGGGAGCTGGGCTTTTTCATCCTGGAGCAGAGATAGCTTTGAGAGGACTTAACAGCAGCCCCTATGGGGAGGTCCTCAGGAGAGGGACCTGGGCTCTTCACAGTGGTGCAGCATGGGAGGGGAAGAGACAGCAGGCCTAAGGTGAAACAGCAGATGTTCAGATTGGGTATTTTTTCCCATAATGACAGTCAGACAAAGCCAGGTGGCCCTTCTTTGGGCAACCTGTGTGCAGTCTCTGCCCTTGGAGGTTTCTAACCCCGTCTGGTTGAAGACATGAGCAACATAGCCTGAATGACCAGGCAACTCATGGGGTCTTTTCTAGAGGCAAATCATGGGGTCTTTTCTAGCTTGAAAGCAGCTCTGATTCTGGCCCAACTGTCATGAAGCAACTGTTGATACCATGATGACATTTTCACTAGTTGAGTACTGAGCTTTTTTTTCTGAACTTTTGTATAGCACTCACAACACTTGGGGCTGTACTTTGTAATGTTGAAACCCTTTTTGCTCTTCCATTTGAGGTCTTGGTAGGCTGCTGTAGTTGGAGTAGAAGGCATGAAAGATGGTGCTCTGGTTCACAATGTTTCCTCTCAGTTGGTAATATGCAGCATAAACCTGTGATATTTTTATGGGATTATGCAGTTAGGGAGACTTTCTTCAAGAAGAGGCACAACACTGAAATCTGACCTTATATGATAATTAAAGATGTGATTTACCTTCCATGTCAGGGGAATATGGTAAGGTGATACTCAGCCCACATTGTGGTCTGGACTATTGTATCCTGCTAACATAAAATCCTTTTGGAGGTATATGCATTGCATGTCTGTCTTTTCTATCCCAAACTGTTAAACAGACTTGGTATGGTCTGTGAAATAGCTGACATGTTCTAGTTAAGAGATGACTGTGTTTCACTGACATACAAAATGCTTTTTTTTGGTGTCAGGTACCTTATTCTGCAAGATGCTAGGTGCTGTCAGGGAGGTTCTGAGTGCCTTTAACTGCTGCTGGGAAGAGGTCATACCTGGCACTTTGCACATTTGGTCATGGAGAGAATTTAAAACAAAATAAATTGTAAATATGTCTAGTATTAGTTACCTTTATTTTTTGTTTGTATTTTAAAATAACTGAATGCTAACTCTCTGAAACAAATGCTGTGAGGAAGGACTCATGAAAAGCAAAGACTTCATGTTATCACATGCATATTAATATTATAAAAAAACCCAAATTAGACATTCAGTACTTATTTCACCATGACACACAGTATGTGTCCTAAGAAATAGTTATGAATGTTTTTTCATCTTCAGAGTGCTTTTAAATCAATATGTTAGTTTTGGGCCCTTAGCCTGATTAAGTAATGTGCAGCTTTATTTTTCAGTGCATGTGTGTCGGGCAGATTGGACTGTTGGGATCACTGTGTAGGGATAACATCTAGATTTTACTGTCTTGGGTAATTGTTAAAGTGGACGTTGTTGAAAATAAGTTTGCAGAGACTTACTCTTGGAAAGTAAGTACCTTTTAAAGAATGAATTTGAGCTTGTAGCAAAACAAATTTCAATGTGAGCAAAACACTGAGATAATTTAAAAGCAGTGCTTCTTATTATCTGGGCCAGGAACATAAGGGAATGAGCAGTAAAATCAGCTTCTTTGTCTTAATTGCACTCCTGTCACAACAGGTAAATAATTAATGGACCTGTGTAATTGATTCTCACATGCACAGTTATTTTTCTGGTTGAATAAGGATTAGTGAGAGTCCTTTCAATGCAAGAAGGATGTAACCATTGGGGTGTGTACCTAGAGCAACTGGCATTGCTGACACAGGAGACAAGAATGAGTCTGTCTGTGATGCAGGCAAGAGAAACTGTTGAACCAAATCTGTCTCTCAGTTTATTTATATGATCGGGAACAGGGACTTGATGTCTAGAGCTGGAAAAAAGTGTTTTCTTAAAGGTACTTGAAAGCAACTTCCTGCTCTCCTACCATAGATAATGCCAACATGATTCCCCTCTCCTGACTCTCTAACTGCCTCTGAAGTAGTTGTTTGGCATTCCTTGTTCATCAGAAGGCAACAAATGCTGAGATCATTAGTAAGCTCGGAAGATTGTGAGCAGATGCTTTGCACCATAGTCCTGGTACACTGCTCACAGGAAAGTGATGACCGCAAGCTGTATGCTCGGCTCAAAGCATGTGATTTATCATGTATGAATATGGGAATTTTCTTCCTGTCAAATCATCACTAAAGTGTGACACCATCTTCCTGCAGTGGAAGGATCTGATTATCCTTGTCTCATTCCTGAGCTGCTCCTGCTACAAGTCAACAGAACTCTTTCTCCTTTAATCCATAGTAATTAAGGGAGCCACATCCATTGTGCTCACAATGCTGTAAACCATGTCTGATACCAGATCAGTGGCAGAGATTTTCTTTGTGCTGACAGCTTCCAAGGTGGGAATATTTAACTTTGTAACTTTCCAAAATAGTCCAGACAGCTTTGTGATGGACTCTGCTTTCTTTAATTGGTGCATGCACACTTTGACAGTGTCCTTCATAAGCATGTAGAATGAAAGAATCATAGAAACATTTAGGTCAGAAAAGACCTTTAAGATCGAGTTCAACTGTAAGCCTAACACATCCAAATCCCACTAAACCATGTCCCTAAGCACCACATCTACATGTCTTTCAAATACCTCCAAGAATGGTGACTCAACCATTTCCCTGGGCAGCCTGTTCCAATGCTTGACAATACTTTCAGTGAAGAATTTTTTCCTAATACTCAATTTAAACCTCCTCTGGTGCAATTTGTGGCCCTTTCCTCATCCTGTCACTTGTTACTTGGGGGAAGAGACTGACACCCACCTGACCACAACCTCCTTTCAGGTAGTTGTAGAGAGTGATGAGGTCTCCTCTTTTCTCCAGGTTAAACAACCCCAGTTCCTTCAGCTGCTCCTCATAAGACGTGTGCTCTGGAGCCTTCACCAGCTTCGTTGCTCTTCTCTGGACATGCTCCAGTCCCTCAATGTCTTTCTTGTAGTGAGGGGCCCAAAACTGAACTCAGTATTCGAGGTGCAGCCTCACCACTGCTGAGTACAGGGGATGATCACTCCCCTAGTCCTATCATCCAAAGGAAAAACAAGTGACAGCATATTGGAAGTTAGGAAAAAGAGAAATCCTAGCTTCTAAAGGGAGCCTTTATAAATTTCCTAGTTGAAAATAAAGTATTTCAAAGAATAAGCCTTCATGACCTGTCTCCTGCTTATCTTTTGGGCAGACATTCCAAGCAGATCTGTGCTACTGAGTTTTATGAAGCAATAGAAAATGCCCAATTTTTATTTTTCAACCCCAGTGTGTACTTCTGATAGATCACATGATGTTTCTCACATCCCAGATGCACAAGCAATATAAAAATTGCACAGCCTTGACCTCACCTCCTCCAAACATTCTTTTCAAACACTGCACACAATT